TATATATATATATATACCATGTTTGTACAAGTTTTATTTTGTCATAAAAGTTTTAGTTGCAGAAATTAAATCTTATATAAATATAAAAAACTTTTATTTAAAATAAATTATTTAACACACTAGGCACTTCAGAAATTAATGAAAGTAAAAAAATGAAATAACAACTAATTAAGCAATTTCTTTATTGTTTTACAAGGTTTATCTTCATTGTTACGTTATATTAGAAAGTTAATTGCTTGAAGTTTCACTGACAGAATAACCAAAACAATTGTTGTTGTAAGAAACAGCTTATATAAAGTGTTTTGTCTACTACTGTGTTTGTTGTATTCCAGCGGCCTTATGAACTCTGGATTGAGTGAAACGAGTCGTCAACAGTGCATATGGTGAAAATAGTGTGGTCGAAATACTATTATTGTACACTCTTCTAATTCTGGAAAATCCTCAGGAGACTAGATAAGGAAAGTAGTGTTTAAAATAATTATAGGCCTAATACTAATGTTTTATTACAGGTATAATTATTTTCAGTACCATCATTTAGAATCCATTGTTTGCTGCTATATTACTGTAGATGGAAAGAAATCGGCCTGGAAAGCTACCGCAAACAGCGAACAACGATTCTCATCCGTCCAGATGCCGTATTTACCAACGGGTTGTACTTTAGATGCCTATGTTGACGCAATTTTCGACATAGATAGCGCCAACTGTGTTTTTCTGCGAAACCACACAGAAGTTAAACTTGTGGGTACAGCCTTTCGCTCTTCAATTCTGGCTAAACAAGCAAGCCAAATGTTGCAGAAGATGCCCGAGTTTCGAATTACTGCTTCTCTGACTATTGATATCCAAGCCAGCACACGTGGAGTCGTTTTATTTAGAGGAATGGAATACAATATCCTTATGTTTAACGGTCAGTCATGGGACATGAGCGACACCTACAAAGTGAATTATCTATTATCTGTTTGAAACGCCTTGGTATTATTTTGAAATTTATCGTTTCACAGCATTACTTAGTGAGTTCATTAGCTATATAGTATTTAGAAAATAAAATAGTAATGTTTCACTGTTTTAGTCGAGGAATAAGAATAAAATATTCATGATTGCAAAATATCTATACATCTCTAAAGAGGTGTTACTGGTTTGAGTACGTTTCACGTATCTATAGAACAAAATTAGATAGAATAGCTTTCAAGTTCAAAGTGCAAAAAGGTCGACTATTTTTTATAATATTTAGTAAAAGCAAGTACACTCGATATTATGACCATCACGCCCACTCTGTCTGTAGGTTATGGTCCTTTTAAGGGCACGTATATGAGTCACGTATTGACAAACAGGTAGGTGCCGTAATCAAGGCCGCAACTTTTACGAATCTGGTCGCCTTCTACGGAAGGAGGGTTCTGTAAGCATGCTCCCCCTGAAATTTTATTATTCAATGAAGCAAAATGATTCAATCTCGTGTGAATGTGATGCTAAATTTCTCCTAGATCCAGCCAGTTAACCAACCACAATACGTTATAGAAAGTTGCTATATTACCAAAACATGATATATATATGTATGTGTGTGTGTTTGTATATATACTAATATGTGTGAGAATAAGACCAAATACTTGAGTTTCACGCACAGTGGGTGAGGGTTTGTAACTCTGTATCATGGGTAGCTGGGCCCTTTCCTTCTGGGTTTTGACTGGTGAACCTTTTAGATTTAAAATATGTTTTGATAATATACTTGACTGATTATTCTGAATGCTTAAAGCACAGTTATCAATAAATCCTTTCAAATTACACTGTTGTGCACTTAAGACATTCACGTCATACTCTCATCCGTTGAAATTACATTCTTCAACACGTGTTGCTGTGCACTCAAGTGTGAAGTTTACGTGCTTCGTTGTTACAAACGAGTGTAGTGGTATTCATATAATAGCGGGATCAATCTTACTCAACACCTGAATCCAAATAACGCATCCAACAACTAATTTTCACATCCTAAAAGCGCGCGTTTAGAGTTTGTATTGACTTTTCGTAAAAGTATTGGTAAAATTGTCCTAAGAATGAGGAAAAAATATATGAAGAATTGGGAAATTTATTTAAAACTTAAAATACTATATTGTTACAACCAAGCTGAGTATCGTTTCTGTGCTCTAATATTTTACTTAATTTAAAACTTATTGCTGATTTGAAATCACACAGTTGAATTATATAAATGTATGCTACCAGTTCATGTGATCAACCTTGATCATCAGTGA